TAGTTACATGAGGGATCCTCAGGGTTCTTTTCTTGGTCCTTTATAATTTCATGGTCACAATGATTCTTATTTTCAGAATCTGTTAATATATAATATCTTTCACAAATAGGGACATTAAAAACATTCTTCACTCTCGTAGCTATGGTCTCCTGAGGAAAACATCTTTGTTACCTTGGTGACAGGTTAGGGCAGGGGGGAGGTGAGGGGGAGGCAGAGTCAGTCACGCCCCCGTCACCCTCTCCTCTCTGGGGTTGAGGAGCTCCGGGTCCTCCGGCGTGCTGTGCCTCCTGAGCCTGACGCTCCAGACGACTCTGACGCCGGATTGTCTGGTCCTTCTCGCGCACTATCCGCCGCAATGTGTGCACCTGAGAGTTGGTGTTGGCGTACACGTCCTGCAGAGGCAATACATGTTTCAGTGACTTTACAACATGTTACAGGTCACACGTGTTTCAGCGACAGTAAAAGATTTTACAGGGAACATGGGTTTAGTTGGTTGATGTTAGGTCATGGTTGACCTGACATGGTGAAAAATGTGTTAAAAGAAAACTGTTGTTTACTGATCAAATGAAAAATTGCAACATGACTGTTCCTTAACATCATCATGTACAAAATGTTGTGTCTGAACGGTGACGGATGGTGTGTTTCCATGGTAACAGCACTGACCCGCAAGTGATCCAGCTCCTTGTTTGTTTGCATCAATTGTTTCTCCAGTTCAACAATTTTCAGCATCGCTTCGTTTTCTACGTCCAGGAGACGCTCAGACATCTGAGGACAAAGAAAGGGAGACAGGTCCTGGTCAGTGCAACACTTGTCTGTCTGTGTAACGATCTGTCTCTCCACCTGTGTGTCTCACCGTGCCCAGGCTGTCCTCCAGCTCTTCCACTCTCTCCAGAGCAGCGGTTTTCGTCTCTGCGTCTTCGAGCAGCGTCCCGACGTCGAACACGTTGTCCAGGTATGCCTGAATCTGCACCTGCAGCCTGTCGCTCTCTGTGTGCTTCAGCCTCTGGTGAAAAAGACAGGCGAGGGAGACAGCGGGATAGAGGTGAGGTAGACAGGTGTGTTGCACAGAGGTGGTATGATTGGGTGACGTGTTACCTCCAGGTGCTCGTCCAGGTTCAGTTTGGTGAAGTCGTACTGAAGATGAACCCTGAAGTTCATGTCCTCCACAGAATGAACCACGATGTTAATGAACTGCATACACGCCACCTGTCACCATAGTAACAAGCACTGATTCACCTGATGTCACAGTGATGTAACAGGTAAGTCTTGTCACTTTCACACACTTTATTTTGTAAGACTCTGTTAAAGAATGTTTCAATAATTTGATCGTGACGAGGAGAAGGTGACGTCATTAATTCAAATTAAATATGATTTTATTGATCAACGCACCAAGAAGTCGATGTTGTCGTCTTCGTTCTTAAAATGTTCCATTAACTTCTCGAACCGCATCGACTCTGAACACACCTTCAACAAACCAATCAATCAATCAATCAATCAATTGACCATTCTGGACAATATTAAAGAGAATAAAGTTCAAAGGTTATTTACAGTTTTAAAGTTGTCAAAGGCTGAAAGGATGATGTCATGACCTCCTCTGACCAAACACACGGCGGCCAAGAGCTCGAGCACGAGAGCCTTCGTCCTGGGGGTGGGGTCAGAGAGAGTTAGACAGATTTATTACACCCCCCTCCCCACACTTACCTTTACAGGATTAATGATATATATGCTGTGATGAAGTTTTATTTTGAAGTACTGGAGTTTTTGTTTGAAGTACTGGAGTTTTTGTTTGAAGGATTGTAGTTTTATTTTGAAGAACTGTAGTTTTATTTTCAATGATTGTGGACTTTTATTTTGAAGGACTTTGGGTTTTATATTGAAGGACTGGAGTTTTAGTGTGCAGTAAGTTTGGTTTTATTATGAAGGTCTGACCTTGGGTTCCTGTTGTTAAGGCTCAGAGCAATCTCGTTGACGGCGTGAGGATGTGACATCACCATGTTGAAGCCGTACTGAGGAACAATCACATGGACCCAAAGAATGTAGCTTTTCCACATTGATTATTTATCCAACATGATTGATTAGTTGATCATGTCACATGACCTTTTTTTTTTACCTGGTAGTTCATGATCGCTCTCAGACACATCACACAAACATGGACGTCGTCTTTCTTACAGACCAGTCGAGAATTCTTCAGAGTCCGACGACTTGGCAGCGTGTTGGAGCGAGTCACCAGAGCGGAGCTGTAACCACGACGACAGAGGTCACCTGGTGAGTGGTATACATTTTATACTTATACTCATTTGATATTATAAAGTGGTACCTGATGGAGTGGCGAGCTGCTCTGGGGACAGAGGACGACGGAGACGGGAGGCTACAGTCGCCATGGAGATCCTCTATGGACCGACTCCAGGGAGAGTCGATGGATGAGACGTCACCTCCGACCTCCGACTGCTCGCCATCAAATCTGAATATTAATAACCAAATATATGTGTGGATTTAGTGGTGAAGTGTGGTGTTGCAGCTGAACACCCGTGGTAGCTTCAGTTGTCATAAAAACCAGTTTGGCCTACTGTAAAAAACATGGCTGCCCACTCCTGATGTAAA